TTGGCAGCAGCAGTATTTCTTCCTCGCTGTCATCTTCGGATTCATGTGCAGCTTGGTAATCCTTCACATGAAGGGAAACAGACTTCTTGCTGCGTGGGTAGTCACGTCTTTGTGTAGGCAGAGCTGGCTGTAGGGAAACAGATTGTAGTGGTGGAGCATGTTGGCGATGTAGAGTCCCCTCAGTGGCCCTTTACCACACTCTTGCTTCACAGTGTAGACAGGAATATCTTCATTGGGCTGTTCTCAGCTGCTATGCAAGGAGTGTGGTGAACCTGGCAGATGGCCTTGATAGAGGTTGGTTCTATGTGTGTCTCCTGGCTAACAGAGTAGTCTGGCCTTCTTGATAATCCATCAGCATCCATGTTGGTATTTCCAGCTCGGTATGTGATGATGAAATCGTAGGTTGACAAAGCAGCTAGCCATCGGTGACCAGTAGCGTCGAGCTTGGCGGATGTCAAGACATACGTTAGAGGATTGTTGTCAGTCTTGACCTCGAATTTGTTACCGTAGAGATACTCATGGAACTTGTCCGTGACTGCCCATTTCAGTGCCAAGAATTCCAGTTTGTGAGCAGGGTAGTTCTTCTCACTTTTCCTCAGACCACGACTTGCATAAGCGATGACTCTCATCTTCCCGTCCTGCTTCTGATAGAGCACTGCACCAAGTCCTTCTATACTGGCGTCTGTGTGGACTTCAAAAGGAAGAGAGTAGTCGGCATAGGCTAAGATCGGAGGTGACGTGAGGTGCCTGACTAAGGTGTCAAATGCTTCCTGGTGTTCATCGTTCCATTTCCAATTGGGATCAGGTTTTGAGTTCCTTCTCTTCTTCTTGGGTTGTCCAGTCAGGAGATCATTCAGTGGCCGAGCAATTCTGGCGAAGTCCTTGACAAAACGGCGATAGTATCCAGTAAAGCCTAAGAATCTTCTGACTTCATGGACATTAGTTGGAGTTGGCCAGGTCGTCAGTGCAGAGACTTTCTCTGGGTCTGTTTCTATTCCATTGCAAGAGACTACATGTCCTAGATATGTCACTCGGTCTCTGAACAGCTCACACTTGGATGGCTTGAGCTTGAGTCCATTGTCATGGAGACGTTGAAATACTGCTTCCAAGCGTTCCAAATGCTCATCAAACGTTTTGGAGAAAATGATGACGTCATCAAGATAGATGAGACATTCCTTCAGGTTTAGGTCTCCCATGCATTTTTCCATCAAACGTTGAAACGTAGCTGGGGCGTTGGTAAGGCCAAACGGCATCCTGTTACACTCGTAGAATCCAAGTGGGCCGACTGAAAATGCTGTTTTCTTCTTGTCTTCTTCTTTCATCTCCACCTGCCAATATCCCGAGCGCAAATCCAGCTTTGAAAACAAAGATGCTCCTGAGAGGCAATCCAGTGTCTCATCAATCCGAGGGATGGAATAGGCGTCTTTAATGGTCCGCTGATTAATCCGGCGAAAATCTAAACAGAACCTCAGAGTCTTGTCTTTCTTCCGTACAAGCACCACGTTGGATGAGAAAGGGCTATGCGACTCCCCGTATGGCTCCACAGGCTAACATTTCATGAAGATGCTCCCTCACTTCCTCAAACATTCCAGGTGGTATGCGACGATGAGGGTCCTTAAATGGGGTGTCATCAGTGAGATTAATCTCATGTTGAACTGCAGTGGTGTGTCCTAAGTCTAAGATGTTCTTCGACATGATGCAATCCCATTTCTGAAGCAAAGTCATGGCCTGGTCCTTTTGTGCATCTGTTAGACAACTGTTGGAAAGGTCGATGCTAACTGTTGGAGCTGGAGTCGGTTCTGCATGTGTCTGGGTCTTCAGTGGTAAGGCATCAATAGGTACTTGGCTAAGTACACGGACCTCATGTAACTTGCAGAGTCTTGTCTTGGCTGGTATGGTGATGGTTCTTGCTGAGAGGTTGCAGATTCGAACAGGAATCCTTGAAGAGTTACCATGTTTTCCAACATCTACAAGTCTTGGGCATACCGAAAGTCCTGTCTGTAGATCAGAATCCAAGTCGAAGTGCTCGGTAACTGCTGTTGTTCTTCCGGGTTGATGTCGAACAAGTCCATAAACAGTCATCATCTGGTTTGGCTGAACATTAATAGGGGACTTATTTGTGGATCTTACTTGACCGATGATTCCATTAGAGGCTTGGGACCGGAGAGCTGTAACCCATGAAGGAGGGATGCTGCTGTTGACTGGTTCCAAGTAAGCTTCTACCTGATCTATAAGGTTGGTGCCGATTACCAAAGGGACTCTTCTGTTGTACTCCGTGTCACCAGTTACAAGTAGTGGTAGTGTGAAGTTCTTGTTGATAAAAGGGATGTAGATGTTAGCCTCTATGTATCCGGTGTAGGGAAGGATGTTATCACCTGCTGCCATTACTTCCACTTCAAAGTCAGTGAGTGCCTTCAACGGGAGGTGACTTAGACTTGACTTGTGATATCCTTCCGATACAGTGGAGACCATGGATCCAGGATCAATCAAAGCTTCACAATCCAACTCTTCGATGTTAACTGATGCCTCATTCGCCTTGCCTATCATCCTTTGGTGTAGGTCACTTGAGGGGCTAGTAAAGTCTTCAGCCTCTGCATGCCCCGCTGAAGTAGGCTGAATCAGTTTAAAGCTTCATTTCCTCTTCCTCTGCCAGTGCCTCTTCCTCTTCCTCCCCTGCCTCTGCCTCGAGACCGTGATGGTTGCAGAGGGACTTGTCTAGGTGGATTCTCCTTCTGGGATTCCAACACTGTTAACCGGTCGAGAATCTGTTGTAGCATCTGGTTATCAGACGTTGGTTTCCGGTGAGCTGTCTCCAACTTCTCCAGTCTCTTGGTGATGGAAGTGAGTTGCTCTGAGATATCTGTGGGGGGAAGAAGTGGTAGATCCTTCCAGTGGCTGTGAGAATCCAAGAGTCTGTTGTGGCTGATGGGTGCTACGTGGCGGCCGGGATCTAACAGGTTGAGTGTTGGAGAGCTCCTGTTCGATGAGCCTGACTGTCTGTAGCAAGGTTTCGAAATCCATTGTTGAATAGAAGGCATGTCGTGTGGCATCCTTCAAGTGTGGATTCCTCAGTCCAGTCCAGAATCTATTCCTGAGCATGGCATTCCTTCCGCGACTATCCATGTAGGCTCCTCTGTCCAATGAACGTTGAAGCAAGTCCTCCCAATCGTATCGCCCATGATGCTACCGATTCCCGTTCCTGCTGTAAGGTCTGGTGAAATTCCTGAAGTAGGGATTCCGCTGTGACAATGGTGCCATAGGGTCCTTCCAAACGTTGCACGATGTCTGTGATGGTGGCATACTCCCCGAGGGATACAAGTAGACGAGCAGCGTCTCCTCTGAGCGATTTCCGGACTGCTTGAGTGAGTGTTGAAGAAGGCAGACTCTCATCCTTCATAAGGCAACGGACTTCGAACTTCCAATTCTCGAACGTAGTCTCTCCCTTTGGAATTGGATCTTCACCTGAAAACAAGGATATGCGAGGTGGTTGCTGGTATACAGGCCAAGGTTGAGGAGGGTAGAGCTGATTTGGAATGGCGAAGGAGTTTGGTGTAGGGACATAAGAAGGAAAACTAGGAGTGCGAGGGTTAAATGAAGAAGAATGTGGCTTGGGTTTGATGTGTGGTGTAGAAGTAAAAGAAGTAGGTTGTATGTTGTATTTCCCAGTCTTCTGTAGGTATGACAACATCCTAGCTTCATCCTCTTCTGAGATCACTTCCGATCTCACTTCCCAATCTTCACCTCCTTGTGCCATGGTAACGGTACTATGAGTGATATATGTACAATGTGCGTATGCAATACTAACACATGTGTTCACATAAAGTGAAAATGCAAGTGTAAGTTGCAACTGATGTTTACAAGAGGTAATACGGTAGTGTACCAAAAATGGGTACAGAAATGTAAACACCAGAGAATGCAAAAATATAAACCCCTAGCTGTCAACCGAAAGTGAACCTAATAAATAGACACCAAGGGCACAACAAGAGTAATAAAATTACTGATGAAGCAACGCAAACAATCCCAGAAAGAACAAAACAACTTCAGCTGGAATGGAAGCAAAGGGAGGTAATCGCCAATAGGACAGGCGAGGATAGACCTATAGGACAGAGAGAAGAATGAAGACCCTAAGTTTTGATAAAGCTACAAGTTTAAGGTTATACAAAGTGCCTACAAACGCGAACGCGGTGAACAACGAGATAACTGACGCGAGTGCGATGACCTGTTAGTGCAAGTGTATGTGACGGACGCGCTCACACAATCATAATGTAAAGAAACAATATTGCACTAGTAATATAACACTAAGAATACTTCGTCGTTTTTACAGACGCCAACTTGTTATAGGGAACTAACTAAGCTAACTTAAACCACCTCAGCTAACTAAAAACTAAACTAAACTAAACTAAACTAAACTAAGTTGACTTAAACCAGCTAAGCTAATATTAAACTAACTAAGCTAAACTAAGTTGACCTAAACCAGCTAAGCTAATATTAAACTAACTAAGCTAAACTAAGTTGACTTAAACCAGCCAAGCCAATATTAAACTAACTAAGCTGAACTAAGTTGCTTCACAGTAGCATAAGCTGTGCATGATATGATATTTTGATCATGATGAATAAATATATTATTGCACAATCAATATTATCACAGCAAGTGTACACAGAAATACAAAGACAAAATGTCATAAGAATTCAATGTATAAATGCAATGTAAATAGGTGAAACAATGTGAAATGTCTATGAAGTATATGAAAGTCTCTGATGATAAATGTCAAAAGATGTCCATCACAGATAATCGCAGATATTCACAGATGAACAGTTACCACTTGATCAGTTGATAACAGTTATCGCAGTTGGTTCGTTATGCAGAACTTTATGTATGTAAATTCACACAAGTTCATAACACGAGCTCATCACAGTATTTACGGTATTGCAAGTCAAAAACCTGTTTCACGATGTGTTGCTCCGTGAACGATGTGAGTGAGGAGTTCATATGTAGTACCTCAGTTGGTTGACAAGATGTGTAGACAGTGAACCATGACGATGTTGCTGACGATGTAGGTCATGTTGATGATATAGGTCATGCCGACGAAGTCGTTGTCACTGTCCTTGACGAGGCTGATTGACTCCGTCCCTGTTCGGGCGCCAATTTGTCGCGGGTTCAGGCCTGAGTCTTGCCAAGCAGACAAAATAATGGACGGAGACCCTCGTTCGTGTGAAACATCTTGTTTATTGCCTGTGAATGAAATACAACATTAGGAAGATGTTGTGTCAGCCATACATGTGTGATGGCTGACGGATGACAATTGAATGTCAATCAATCAGGCATATTAATTATTCAATTGATAATCAAATAGCACAGTGGCATACGTTATAATTATGATAGCAATTGAATAATGTTGATTGTTTACATGATGACGTCACATAAAGCTGATGCATCATATTATTGCTAAAAATATATACAGTTGGTGTTGATAATAAAAGGTTTATAAAATATAATATAATTATACTTTCACACACTGTCTTACGTGCTTGTGCTTAAGTTAGTAAGTGATACGCGATAGATATGTTTACTTTATGCGCGATCGGTAACAATATGTTTACTAACTTAAAATACTTAACTGATAATAATTAGATATTTAGCACTATGAAATAGAGAAAGGATATAGAGAGGGTGCTTACCTGTGAATGAAATACAACATTAGGAAGATGTTGTGTCAGCCATACATGTGTGATGGCTGACGGATGACAATTGAATGTGAATTCAAATTGTCATACGTCACAGGTGTAGAAGCCCGTGCTTTTGGTGGTGAGCCAAATACGGGTAGCACGTACAACTCCCTATATCAGACAGTGGAGAAGCAGCCTTCTGATGGAAAGATAGAGAAATAAAAGGCTGTCGGCGATATATTTCTGTAGGCGTCTTACTTGAAACATAAGAACATTTGAGGGATGGAATATATCCTGGGATGCCATGTCGGTAAAGTAGGTTGGGGTTGTTGGTTTTCTTTTCTTTTTCGGCGAGTGGGGAGTGTAGTGTTCTGATATACTGGTTACAATTTCTGTGACATTAAAATTATTTTTATCGTCAACATTGCCCTCCGTTACAACACTGCTGAAAAACCGCCGATGTAACTTATGATGTGAACTTGTGTTATTTATTGCACTGCCTGCTCTACCCGTTTCGTCAACACTCGCCCCTTTCGTAACCTCCAAGAAGACTCGTCCCCCTCTCCATGGATTTGTGCAAAAAAACCCAAAACTAATCAGAATTAAATAGAATCGAACAGAATTAAAAAATAGCTACGGGTTTCAAAACAATTTATTCATATACATGTATAGGTAATCAACTTTAATCTTACACACTGTGCTAACATTTCACTTCACTGGGGATATTTCAGTCTGACGTTTCCTGGGGTCTTTCATATTTTTTCAGCGTATTCATTTTATATTTCACCAGGTGTATAGCAGCAGTTATACATAAGAGTTCAGACAACTGGTAAACTAAATCATGTTTGGGCTATCCGTGAATTCTTCAGTTTAACATTATTTCAAACGTATTTTGTGAATCTGTTGTTACTTTAATTGCCTATTCATGAAAGAAGATCATGAACAGGTTAATATATTCTAAAAGCAAAAACCTTCGAGTTCTTTAATACTGCGGAATTAAATACAAGTAGAGTTATCGTTCTTTCATGATCATACACCAAAGAAATCCTTCGATCGGTATTCGGATTGTCATGGAGTTAAGTTGGTTATGCGTTCAGGGTTAAATGCCGTGCCAAGTCTGCAGCCTGCATTAAGACGCTCGTTACCAAGAAAACAAGATGGTTTACTTTCGGGTTTAATTCTTCTCTTTAATATCCTAATTGAATTTGAGATTATTAGCCATATGGGGCACATAGACGTCACATCTCTACTTCCAACGAAGTTTAGAATAGAAGATGAAGAGTCACGTGACAATCGCATTTCTTTGGACATTGGTCTTGTCAGCGAAATTGAAATGTCGACACATATTATCTTGTCGTAGCCGACTGAAGCAACTGCAAACCAAGAAACGTGGTGCTACTGAGTTAGTTGTACTGCAGAAAACTGTACCCGGCAATGACAACTGCTATGCATCGTGACGTCGCTTACCAAAGGTACGTTTGATTACGAGGGGGCAGATTAAAATGGCGTAGAACGTCAATAAATGTGTATTTTATCGCCTGATAAAGTACTGTCGGCGCCTTGATCTTTTAGCGAAGAATAGAAGAATTTATTTTTTCAACCTTTGCAATTGCAACGAATATTTCTGCGGCCACAAAAATTGTGTATTGCCATTACTTTTTCACTAATTTGTATTTATTTGTAAGCCTAATTAAGTTTGTAACACAAATGATAATTGTACACCATTTGTTTTTGCTGATTGGTATATGTAACAGTGACGTTTTCACGTCATTTATATATTGTTTGTTTTATTTTAAAGTCAATAAAAAGCTATGAAAAAAAACCAAACCTTTTTTTGTGTTGTACAGTTTTGTGGGTAATAATATTCATGATATTCTCTTTGCCTGTTGTCTGGTAAGGCATGGTTGATGAACATGCATTTCACGTGCATTTCATGTTGGTGGGAATCTTTGTGATAATATTGAGGATTTTGATTGACTGATTGGATCATCTGTTTCAATAAGATGATACCTCGTAGTGTCTTGTGGTCGTCATTGCGTTCTGAGAGCCGAACATGTGAGGCCAAGCCAGAGTTGTCACAAGGTTAGTTTATGTTTGGTTGTACAAATTCTTTATAAAGTTGTCAGGTTATAAAGTCTTTAACTTGCTGTTCTAGGCTAAAGACGTCTATTAAAACATTCTTTAATATTAGCGTTTTAATAATGTAAACGTTATGCTTAGCTTCACCGGTTCAGGCTGTAAAATATTCACACCTAATGTTATATTCTATTATTTAATTCTCTCAAATATACTAGCCACATAAAGAAAATGTGCATTGTCAAAATATTATCCCAGTTAATAAGTACGATAACAATGTCAAAGGTACATATAAACTTTAATGGAGGGATCATGAGACCATAACAAGTCGGGAGAATTTCAACTGAAAAGTCAATCACAATGACGTCACGAGTCCACAAGCGGGACAGGGGTCAAACGACCATGTCACAAGCTCAATAACGGGTATGTCCAACATCGACATTGAGAATAGCAGTGCATCGACGACGCATAGAGCCTATCAAACGTGCAAGGAAGGCTTGTGGGATGTGACGCCAGATTCTCTCAAGTTCTGTTGCAAGGTCAAGGACGTTATCTGGCGGATGAGGAAGACGGCGTAGACGTCGATCCATCTCGTCCCAAACATGCTCTATCGGGGAGAGATCCGGTGAATTTGCAGGCCAGGGCAGTAAGTCAACGTTGTGGTGTTGCAAGAAATCCATAGCAACCCTTGCCGTATGAGGGCGGGTATTGTCCTGTTGGAATGTTAACCCAGGGCCATTACGTTGCAGAAACGGAATTGCCACAGGTCGAAGAATCGGATCCCTGTAGCCCACACCAGTTATGTTGCCCTGAACAATCACCAAAGGAGTTCTTGGCGTGCTGTTATTCAACCCCAAGTCATCACGGAACCACCACCACCAAAGCGATTCCTCTCCAAGACACAGGCCTGTGCATAACGTTCTCCCACGCGTCTATAGGCACGTTGACGTCCATCACTATGGGAAATGTTAAACCTGGACTCATCTGTAAAAACAACATTTCTCCACCAAAACAAGGGCCTGCGGACATGATTTCGGTACCGCATTCGGCGAGTTTGTCGATGACGTTGTGTCAGGATAGGCCGTATGGCGGGACGTCGTGGTCTGATCCCGTGATGACGTAAACGTTGTCGAACTGTGTTGGGGTGGAAACGGCGAAGTCCTGTGATGGTTCGGGCAGTCATCACTGCAGTCTGAAACCTGTTGCGAAGATGGGTCACCCTTATCCATCTGTCCTGTCTTGGCGTTGTTACACGTGGACGTTCAGAACGTGGCCGATCGATGACGTCATTTGTGTTCTGGTAGCGTCTCACCAGTGCAGAAATGGTGTTCCGGTGGCAGTGGAAATGTGCAGCCACTTGTCGTTGAGACATTCCCCCACGGACCATCCCAATGGCCTCATGACGTTGTGCAGACGTGAGCCTTGGCATGCTATGCGTTTCAATAGCCGTTTAATTTGTTGAACGATCGGAAGGGCAGGGGTTGAGCTTTCCAAAGTGACAGTATTGTGTGGCATTCATTTGCTCTGTTTCTCTTTCCCGGAATGCACGTGCAACAACGTATTGCACGTCTCAAGGACGAACCCACTGACGTCACGGAACGTGGCACGTGCATGCATGTTGGATACATGTCACTAATCTCTGAGATTAAATCCTTATGTGTCTACACAGGTTTGATAAATTTAGATTTTAAATTTTTGTATGCACAGTTTCTTTATGTGCCTAGTATACTTTCCAAGTTATCTAGTGTGTTAACTGTGCGCGCTGTTTTCTTCCTCTCGAATAAATGATTCACACCCCACAACGAGTCGTGTTTTCTCGGCGTGAGCTGTTACACATTTGTTATGTGTTGGCTTCACACTGAATTTGCATTTGTTTCAGTTAAGAAATCGACACGGGACAGAACGTAATCCAAAACGCACTTATACGGAAATGAGGTCTTGATGAAGTCTTGTTCTTGACACTAATCATCACAGGAAATTGACGCAAAACGTCAATGCCGGAAAATAACCAGTCTCGACTTTCTGTCGGCATTGTTTCCAATTGGCATAAAGGACGAAACAACGATTTACATCAACTGAATGGATCACTGAAAAGACTGACTGAGTTTAGTTTTACGCCGCTTTTAGCAATATTCCAGCAATATCACGGCGGGGGACACCAGAAATGGGCTTAACACATTGTGCCCATGTGGGGAATCGAACCCGGGTCTTCGGCGTGACGAGCCAACGCTTTAACGACTAGGCTACCCCATCGCCCCACTGAAAAGAAGAGATGACACCAGGTGTTGGTTTTATTTCGTTTCCCACTTAAAGTTCACCGTTTTGGGTGTAGAGGTTTGTGAACATAGTACGAATATGCAAAACAACATTTGAAAGAAATAATCACTGGAAAACAATACATGTAGTCCATCCCGTGGCAGAGTTGAGGGCTGTCTTTGCTGGAATATCATCGAACATGTTGCAGGTGTTCGTGGACAACTCATGACTGAATCCCCGACACCAGATGTTGGAGAAACAGGTGATCGAGCAATGTATTCTGGACTGAACTGTCTTGGAATCAGTAGTGGTGCCTCCGTCATACGTTGAGTTGTTCTGGAGGAACTTAAACTGCAGAGTAGACTCACAGATATCTACAACAAAAACACATAGAGGATATTATAGGAGTCTGCGTGTCATACTATGTTTACGTCACGAATGCCGGAATGTTAGCAATTCCAGAGCGAGAGCACGGGAAATACGGACATTTAGCACGAGTGATATAAGGCAGCATCACCTGTAATGGCGGCGGAAGAAAATATCAACGTAATTGGGCGAAGACCTTAGCACCACTTACCGACAGTTACCGTACGCGCATATGAAACAAGTGCACATTTTCAGCGACAGTTATTTGTCAACCTTGAGTTTAAATAACAACAGAAAAATATGTTTCAGTCATAAATATGTAATTCACAACGTTTAACCTTCCATAAACAAGAAGTTTGTTTTGAAATAGCAGCTTTAGAACGTAGCGCAAAGTCTACAGAAGACAGTACCAGTCAGAATGCCAGGCGCAAGTTGGAATATTCAAACAAGGGCAGTGAATGTAAAGAAATATCACCCTCTGTATCCGTTGGAACATTATACACATGAAATATCCCAATCGGTTGGATTACACTTTCTACATCTCCGAAATGCCCATCTGTGAATGAACGTAGAAAAGCATAGTAATATTTCATGAATGAAAAAAGTAGCTCCCTTTGAAATCGAGGCTTGACATGGAACATTTCCTCGTAAAGTGATATATTGCCCTAGGGCATCGTATTAAAATTTGAACCCGGATATGTTTACCCTCTTATTATTCTGAGATGCTTCGGTGAAAGATCAAAGGTGCCGACAGTACTTTATCAGACGATGTGCACTTTTTGCAATACGTCACAATGCATTGGCGTCACTGCGCCATTCTAGTCTGCCCCCTCGTAATCGAACAATTTTGCATTGCGTCACAATGTAAGCGACGTCACGATGCATGTCAGTTGTCATCGGCTCGTACAGCCTCCTACAGAAAACTACACCGTTGCATCCCGTTTCTTGGTTTGCTGTTGCTTCACGCAGCTAACATCACTGGTGGAAACATTACGTTTATGTTTTCCAACGGTTAAAATGTCTCAATTCGGCTCACAAGTTTTCACCGACACGGTAAAGTTCGCAATGTTTACATTCCCACAATGCAATCGTGGAATGTCGCTTGACTTCTCAGCTTCATCTGGATGTACTGATCTTAACTTACGTTGGTAGAAATGTGACGTTCATATTGCCCCATATGGTTTACCTTAAGCGCATATGTAATTAAAATAATTTAGAGAAGATATTTTACCCGAACGTAATCAAACAGCTTAGCATTTGTTTTTCTGGTAAGGTTCGTCTTAACGTAGGGGGACAGACACGTCAATAGAACAGCGCGCCAGTTAGCCCTGTGCGAGGATTCTTAATTTAGGTCACCGACACCGTCGTTTGTGTTTTGCCTTAGATTAATCGTAATTATCCTTAGAAAGTATTAAATTTGGCATCTTAGAAAAGAAATACAGTTCTATCTTCCACCATGTATAGTGTAATAAAGCACACTTTCGCCCTGAACTATTATAACGTTAAAACACTCAAACGTTCTCGTGCTTTAACTATAATAGTTCAGGGTGAAAGTGTGCTTTGTTACAGTATACATGGTGGTAGAGCGAACTGTATTTCTTAAATGAATTGCGTTATTGTCATCAGAACATGGTGTCATTTAATTGTCACTAATATGACAGCAGAAAGAGAAATACATGTGACCACAGTTAAACCCCGACAGTTGTCATATATAATATTCTGTGAAACTGTTACCTTAAAAGCTGACACGTGAAGATCCAGTTTAGAATTATTTACCAGCAACTCATGTTTGTCGTTAGAGGCGCCTAACGAGATCAGGTGGTCACGGTTGCTGACTTGGTGCTCATGGTGTCAATGACTGAATTCTTTGGTCCAGACCAATTATATACGGATCGCTATCATATAGCTGGAAATTGCAGAGTTAAACGTCCAAAGAATAACACATCTTTGAAGCATGTGGGCTCCACGATGACCCTGAACCAATTCTACTAGTATCAAACTGCAGAGGGACTCAATGAGGTCGTATTTAGTTCACTTTAGAAGTTTATCTCAGTTGTATTAATCTTACCAAACATCCACTCCCCAGACGAACCAAATCCAGTAGCAGCAGCAAAGTAGTTGATGGTATGTGGACTGGGATCTGTGTAAGAAAGGATCGTGTCTTGACCAACTGTCTCACCCTTTCCTGCCTTAATTGTTCCATCAACCCAGCTCGTCCAGAATTGTCTGTACTGAGAACAGGACACCACGGCTCCATGGTAAAGCGTTACTGGATCACACTGGGCACATCGCCTGATCACTGACTTGGTGTTGCTCCAGCCACCCAGGACGATTTCGTACATCTGGAGGGTTGAATTCTGGTAATGTGTCTGCAAGGCTACATGGGCATCCCTGCAGGCTTTCACCTTAAACGTGAGGGAGTTGTGGTGTCTTCGTTTAACATTATGATCAAACAGCGAGTGGTAGGTATGAGTTGTTGGTGTTGAAAATATTACCAGTTGAGAATCTGAAAAGTAGAGAAGACAGTTCACGCAACTATACTTGACCCAATTGCTATAGTTTTGGAAGTCTAACGTTTGGGTTTTAAACATAATTACTACTTTCTAGAATATGCTTTAACGCTTGCAAAGGCAAGTTAATCGTTCACTGAAAAAGAACGCAGGATCACTTTTGCAAATCAAAAGTTTAAAAAATTGGATATCATTTTTGCCACCGATTCGTCAAATTTGGAAATGTTACTTTACAAACACATTTTGTGCAAGAAACACATGGCATTCTTTGAAATATTCTGAGAAAACGCAGGTTCGATTCTACCTCAAACATTACGAGTTGTAGACACCAAAGACTGGAGCTGCAGATTTTAAAGACGCAAAGTCATGTCCCATGTCGTCCTTGTATCTGGTTAAGGTGGGTAAAGAAGTGGAAAGGAACCGGCCATTTCACCTTTATTGTGCAAGATCAGATCTTCGACAAACGTATTGGCTAAAACGCTCGAGGTGTATTATGGATGTCAAGGAATGTCAATGACTAGGTGAGTTAATATTTAACGTCACATCGGCAACATTTCAGCCATACCGTGACGAAAACAAACTACACACTACACCCAAATAAATCTATACCATAAAAACCTGTCCTCCAAGGACAGTAAAAACATCAGCGTATCATAGATATGGTTTAAAAGCAGCCTGTTATAATAAAATGTATTACTACAGAAAACAATACAATATATAAAAGTCTACACATCGTCAGCAACTGAAGGCAGATCACCATAGTAGGGACCATGAGGACGTACAGTACTGTTGATGCCTGTATGGACCCCAGCTGGATTTACACCATCCCTTCCGATGTTAAAAGAATAAATAGCCTACTATTGAAACGAAGGTAGATATAAAACATAGGTTATAACCCCCGTTGAGGGCACAGTCGATCTCTGATAAACAGATGTTGAATGAACAAATGAAATTTTATAAGATACTGTATTCTAATACAGACAACTTTTATACCTAAATCAAATTGAAATAGAGTATACTTAAAGAATCGGAGACCTATTACTTTACTCAATTCCCTTTATGAAGTTTTCAGTACTTGCATTTCTAGTAATTTAAAATAAACTCTTGACTAACTCATTCATGATGATCAAGCAGGATTAATTTCCGTGAGAAATATAAGTGAAAACACAAGGCAACTATATGATGTTCTTTTGAAGCTAAATTATCTAACGAACCTGGTCTATTACTCTTAATCGGTTTCGAAAAAGCCTTCGATACTGTATCAAAGAGCTTTATCATACGGTTGTTGGATAAGGTTGGCTTTGGATCCAAGATGATAACATGGATGAAAATACTTATTCAAATTCCACCCGTGTGTAATACAACATGAAAGGGGCTGTCGACAAGGTGATCCTCTCTCACCTTACTTATTTCTTTTTATGGCTGAAATATTAGGAAATATGATTCGCAAAAATCTTGAAATTAACGGTATCCCACTTAATGGTATTGAAAACAAACTAGGTCAGTATGGAGATTACACCCACCTGTTTTAGATGGAAGTGGCAATAGCTTAATGGCTGCTATTAATACTCTTAACGATTTCTATAAAATTTCAGACCTCAAAATGAACATTGATAAGACCAAATCTTTGTGGATAGTTGCAATGGCAGACAGTAGTGTTACACTTTGTACAGATATGAAACTAGATTGGCATGTAGGAGACTTTGAAGTATTAGGAATAAACTTAATGCTCAACTGGAAAACCTCTGGTGGAAAACCTCTTGGTTATCAATACAAGGAAAAGACTGGAGAATATTAACAAAATTCTTGCCGTGTGTAAAGAAGCTTTACTCATATTGGTAAAATTACGGTCATTAAAACACTTGCTCTTTCTACCTTAGTACATATTTTTATTGCCCTCCTCAATCCTTCCAAATCATGTATAGATGATCCGAATAAGGTATTCTTTAATTTGATTTGGAATGACAAGAGGGATAAAATAAAGAGGGAAAACATAGTAAGAAAACACGAGCAGGCAGGACTTAGAATAATTGATATTAACAACTTTATCAATGCTTTAAAGCTTTCACACTTGAATTAATATATTCGGAAAAACACTCATATTGGCCTAAGCAGCATACCTATAAACTATTTTTATATTGGAGGCAAACTTTGCTGAACACATTCATTTCTAAGATGCCTAGCGGTTAGAACAATCGAAAAATAAATACATTATCAGACAATAAAGGTATAGTTTTTTTGATGACGTAACAATTGAATGACGTTTTCCCGTCACTGCGCCATTCTAGTGTGCCCCCTCGTAATCGAACCATTTTACATTACGTCACAATGTAAGCGACGTCACGATGCATGTCAGTTGTCATCGCCTCGTACGGCCTCCTACAGTAAACTACACCGTTGCATCCAGTTTCTTGGTTTGCTGTTGCTTCACGCAGCTAACATCACTGGTGGAAACAATACGTTTATGTTTTACGACGGTTAAAATGTGTCATTTCGACTCAAAAGTTTTCAGCGACACGGTAAAGTTCGTAATGTTTACATTCCCACAATGCAATTGTGGAATGTCGCTTGACTACTCAACTTCCTCTGGATGTACTGATCTAAACTTACGCTGGTAGTAGAAATGCAACGTTCATATTGCCCCATATGGTTTACGTTAATGACAGATGTAATTAAAATAATTCAGAGAAGATATTTAATCCGAACGTAAACCGTCATCAAACTGTTATCATTTGTTTTTTTCTGGTAACGTTCGTCTTAACGTAGGGGGGCAGACACATCAATAGAACAGCGCGCCAGTTAGCCCTGTGCGAGGATTCTTAATTTAGGTCACCGACACCGTCGTTTGTTTTCTGCCTTAGATTAATCGTAATTATCTTTAGAAAGTATTAAATTTGGCATCTTAGAAAAGAAATACAGTTCTATCTTCCACCATGTATAGTGTAATAAAGCACACTTTCGCCCTGAACTATTATAACGTTAAAACACTCAAGCGTCCTCGTGCTTTAACTATAATAGTTCAGGGCAAAAGTGTGTTTTATTACACTATACATGGTGGTAGAGCGAAGTGTATTTCTTAAATAAAAAATCCTTTCTGGTAAGATGTTCTCAATATCTGGTCAGAATATTATAAAATCCATAAAACAAATCTTGATACAGAGGACATTCTTTGTGAACCATTACGGCTTAATCACCAATTTCATTACTCTGATCTTTGTGTTGATAGCTGGTTCAGGAATTCAATTGGAGCTATTTGCAATGATGATGGCTTCATGAATTTTGAAAAATAATGCCCTTGAACTGGACCGGACAATTTTTGAATATAATAGAATAGTTTTAAACATACCAAAAGCATAGAGAGACATCATCAAACAAATGAATAAAAAAACCCCAGAAAATCTTACTATAAATTAGATGTGAAAGGTTCTAGATTTTACTATGACATGACCACTACAGAAAAACAACTTTGCCAGTGTGTTTAAAATGGCAGAGCGTATTATCTTTTCATATTGACTGGAACGTAGGTTTTACTAACTTGTAAAAAAATGTACAAAAGACACAAAGCTTTTGGATTTCCAGTGGATAGATTTATTCACAGAATTATTTACACAAAGCATGAATTGCTTCGAATGATGCTTGTGGATAAAAAAGACTTGTAGTTTCTGCAAGGTAGACGATGAGGATATTTTAGATGTATATGTTGATTGTCACTGTGTCAATAATCTCTGGAAAAAGGTTTGAAGCAATATTTAACCAGTATGTACTCAAAGGCATTCCAAGCACACAAATTCGTACGAATCATATCATTCTCATTACTAAAAAAACATTCATATTCCATGCATTAAACAAGATTTGCTTTTGAAAACCTAAAATCACTAAAGACCTTTTCAACATTGAGAATTATATTGCCAAAAATCCCAGACCTTAACTGCTTCTAAAGAAAATTGATATCTTTAGTGAACATACTTGACGCATCTTAGTACTATTGCTATCGGAATACGTACAATTGTTGCCACTGTATTAATGAGGACTACATTTGCTTTTTGTACATATATATGCCAGTGGATGAATAAAAGATTTAAAACAAATCATTGTCATAATATTAATAATAAAGACCAAAGAAAAAACGGTTTCTAGTAAAACTAAATGAAACTAGAAGAAACATTTCCTGGATTGAACTGTGCCTTAAAATAAGATCGTCAGGGAACCCCATGTCTAAAAGGCAAAAGTCGGTTTGGAGAAAATTTAAATCAAGAAAGAAAAGGTACTTCTCCAAATTGTCGATGACCTTAAGGCAAAATTAAAGGTTTGGACTGAAAGAAAGAAAAATGGGAAAATCCATAAACAAAATAAATTCTTTAGAAATAATGAAAATATATTTTACAGGCAACTCAAAACAAAAGGTGATGGTGAACATGATAAACGGCCTCCCATGGATGCCAATGAAAGGTTTTGGAACAGCTGTGGTCTGTTCCCGGCGACTGTAACCTTGAGGCAACAAGGGTCCGTGACTACAATCACTCCAATGTATGAAAAAAATAACTGGGTCGTTTGTCGTTTGGGTCGTTGCATCTCATCAGATTGCCTGAAAAGTGTTATCTAATAGTCCAATCTTATACAGCTCCAGGGCCTGATGGTATTCGAAACCGATATTGGAACCTGTTCCCCTGTGTCTTAAACACCATTATTTTACTGTTTCAGTTCTCTCGTGGACACGGGTGATGTTCCTCCATGCACAGGCAAATTGTAGCGCAAATAGGGTTGCGCAACAAAGAAAAAATGACCAGTCTTTCCATAAGCGAGCGAAGCAAGCAAAGTCGCTTCGCTCGCAT